GCTCCTTACAGAATAGAGTCTTTAATGTTGCAGGGACCTCTCGAGACCATCCAGTCCAAGCCCCTGCCCACGCAGGGTCACCTGGAGCACATGGCACAGCGTGACGTCCAGTTATTTTGGCAGCTCTGCTCCAGGGAGCACCCAGAGGCAGGAGCAGCCCCTTCCCGGGGCCGTGGGCAGCCCGGGCCCCGCCAGGACACGGGATGGAAGAGCCCACGTGTCCCGCTCGCCGAGTCCGAGCGCTTCAATGGCCCCTTCCCGCCCGGCTCGGCGGGGACGAGGGGTTTCTGCGTCCTGCCCTTCGGAGAGATGGGCTCATCCGAGTGCTGCGCCTAGGAACAACACAGCAGGTTCCCCCCTTCAATCTTCTTTCCTTATGGAAAATTCACTTGGATGAAAAACACATAACCAAAATAGTCATTTGCTTTTTAACTAATAGGAACATTTCGTTAAGTTCTTGATGAGCTTTATGGCTTTATTGATACACCAGGAAATTTACCTCTCCTGTCAGGAGCCTGAATTTCAATATTTAGGCCCTTTGGTTGCCCTTCCTTTGTGATTTCCTTACCGTGGTGATGCTGGAAGAGCTGGAGGGAGCAGGAAAGGTCTGTCTGGAAAAGCCACTCGTTGCTCCTGGCCAGGGTGCGGATCTGTCCCTGGCGCGGAGCAGAGCAGCCCTGCTCGTCAGCCCTCCAGCGGGCGCTTTGCGCCGGCCTAGTTAAGCTCCGTTCTCATCATTAGTCACACTCTTTCTGTGGCCTTTACATACATTAAAGGGAAAAATGGCTTTTCTGCTCCTTTTTTTTTTTTTTTTTTTTTCCTTTTTGATAATGATTACCCTTTCCTACCTAGCATGTCGGTTATGCTGTGGGTGGTTTTTCTATGGAAGGGCCAAAAACATCTGAGTGTTTGATAGACAGATCTTGTTATTATTCTCTGCTTTACGTTATTTCTCTCCAATTAGAACTCCTGTGCTTTGCACATAAATGTCAGTCCTATACAATTACCTAAGACCAGAATTGCTATTATGCAGCACCCTATCTCTGTGCTGTAAGGGAATGTTTTGGTAATCTGTATTAGACTCTAGCTGGTGGGTGTCGACTGGAGCCCCATAGGAGGGTATAAAATTTTTAGGAAAGGGAATATGAGCAGTTATTGAGCTTAAAATGCATTCTGATCCTTTTTAGGCTATTTATCTAAAGTAAGGAAATAACAGGGCTTTTTGCAATAGAAAAATGTTTTCTGCTTGTAGCTGCTGGGAGTTCCTGCTGCTTAGAGATTGTAAGGCTGTTCCTTACATTTTCCTTGCAGTTTTCTTCTCCAAACTTCATTCTTGATAAGAATACAAGTGTAAAACTGCAGTGTCAATAAAATATGCATTTTTGTGCTTCATGTTAGCTACTTGAACATTATCATACAGCCACTGTAATATAACAGGAAGATAGTTCGGGCAAGGAAGCGAGCCTGGAAAAAAATCTTGTTTTTATAGGAAATGGTATCAACTTACTGAACAGAAATTTTCCAGTTTATACATTCCCATATGAATCCCAAAGGATTCAGCTTTTGAAACAGGTAGGTCAGAAGGCTGGTCTTATTGTAGCTCCTGTCTGAGTGTATTCCTGATTAATCATATAAAAAGAAGCAGCACCAAATTAGACAGAAATATCATCTTAACATCCAATTATTTAAGCCGATTTATTTCTGAAAAAATAGGGGCTTAAATCAAATAATGCCAGATATGCTGCCTTGGTTTGAAAATTACTAATTCTTATTATGAATTCTTCTTGATATTTTATGGCAGAGAGTTTTTATGGGGATTAAAACATTCCTTTCTCTGTTTTGAATTTGCCACCTTTTGATTCCATCCTGTTTCCTTGCCTTATGTAAGCCAGTATGATCTTTACAGCATCTCAGTCTTTTTTATTTGTCATATACTCCCGTGAGGTGTTCCCTAATACAAACACCTTCTTTATTTTCCGTTTCTTTTATAATCATTGCCTTCCTTTTCATCTCCTAATGATGAAAGGGGGACCACAGTAGATGCAGTCACTGCTGTGCTAAGCAAACACGTCGTGCTCCTTTTCCGTTTGTGATCAAGCTCCTTTTAAAAGATAGCTAGGGGTTGGGATCTTTGCTCCTTTCCTGTTGAGACAGATTTACTGGAACTGGGGTGTATAATATTTCATGTGAAGGCAGGCCCGGACGTACAGAATAGATTAAAATGAAATTATATACCGATGCTCTTTGCTTATTTTTTTCATTTCTGCCCTGTATTTGTCATTGCGGATGTGCGCCGAGCGCTCCGGTCGCTCCCTGTGACGTGTGCCCGGCCCGACGCTGCTCCCGGGAACGCGCTGGGGCGAGAGGCGACTTCTGTCCCGGCTGCAGCGCTTGGGGTTGAGCGGCCCCCGCTCTGTCCTGCACCCTGCCCTGGTTAAAGCTGCTGCTGTCCCGTGCCCCTGGGTATCCTGCAGCAGCACCTATAGGACCCTATAGCATCACGGCTGACGTTACAAAACCAACTTCCTCCTAATATGAAAGAGCAGAAATTGCTAAGGTGTTTCAGGCAGGGTTACTACTTTTTTCTTCTCATGCAGAGCTTAAGTAAAGGTTTTAACACTTCAGCATCAACTTGTCTTTCCAAGCTCATGCATCCATACATTAGAAGGGATTGAGCAGATTCATGAGGTGATTTTTCCCTTTACTCTGTGCTCCCTTTGACTCAAAGCCCATAACTTCAGGGGCCTCCAATCCAGACACACCAACCTGAAGTTCCATCTTGTGCTTGTTGCCATTTTGGTGATTGCGTCTTCAGGCATCTCCCGACTTTGAGAGCTGATCAGTTTTGGTCTGAAAGAAAAATCATCTATTTTTTTCTGGATGTGTGGTGATGCGGCAGTGTTGCTGGGGCAGTCCCACTCTTCCAAACTCCCTTTCCAGTAGCTGTTAGCAAACCTATGTCTGCTATAGGGTTCTCACCAACTCTGCATGGATCTCCAGTTGTTTTGAGTAGCCAGAGCGCCAGGAACCGTACATTTTGTTCTTTACTATATGTATATATATATATGTGTGTATATATATATATATAAAGCTTATCAGGTAGAGGGAGAGGCTGGGTAAATATCTCTAGGAAATCGGTGGCAGGCTGGAAATAAAACAGGAGGATGGATCTGCTTGGCTTTGAAAATCATAAATGGAGTCATCTAAGAGGTGTTTGTTTGCTGAGTCTCCTGTGGCTGTTGCTTTGGCTTCGTTCTTTAGGCTGGTTCTTTAGGTCCATCTGCATCCAAGGACATCCAAAGCCGGGGCAGTGACGCCCCACCTGAGGAGATCACAGAATCCCAGAATCCTTAAGGTTGGAAGGGACCTCTAGAGATAATCTTGTCTAACCCCCCTGCTCCAGCAGGGACACCCAGGACACAGGGTGGCATCCAGGCGGGTTTGGGAGAAAATCTTTTCCATTATGGTCTTGCTCCATTTTTGTCAAACAAATCTGATATCCTAAAGCCCTTCTGCAAGTTTAGGGAAAACCTTTAATTATAATTTCCAGCAGCACGTGTAATACAGCTAAGAAGTGTCAATCATGTTTGCAGAGGAAAAACACGGCACTTAGGGGTTGTCACTCATGTCTATTAGTAGAGTTGTAGAAAACTTTAAGGCTTGCAGGGTTTGTATTTATCAAATGCAAAGATAAAACAAATTTGTGTAAAATTCATGCAAATTGATCCCCGCCACATCAAGGTTTGTTAGGCTTTTTATTAGAGATGTCATAAGAGAGATGAGTCCTGCAGTTAAATTATTCCCACTGGTTTTAGCACAGTTGTTTCATTAAAAACACTATTTATGGAAAGTGCAGTGATACAATAGAGTAGGCTTGCTGTGTACAAATACCATTTTAAAAGCACGTGCTACATGTCCCTAAAGAACTTAGCATTAAAAGCTGAATATGTATAATCAAATGTTTGCTTGAAATATAACCGTTAATCACTGGAATATCTTTGAATATACAGCTCAATTGCAAACTGTTTAATGATTTAATTGTACAAACTTGATTTGAAGAAGTTGGTGTTTTCCTGCCTTCTGTCGCTTCTGTCTTGCAAACTGCCTTCGTAGGAGGGTGATGCTGATGGCAGCCCTGGAGCAGCGCTGCCCGGTGTCCCCTCCTCTTTGGTGGCCGATGACATGGGACACGTTTCCAGCAGGCTTTTTTTGGAGTGCTTTTATGGCGGAGTGAGCCCATTCCCACCTCGAGCCCCGTTACGGCCCGTCTGCGGCGCTGCCCCACGGAAGCTTGTTGGTTGCGTGCTGGCCCTACCTCTTCATCCTTCGGATTTTCCCAATCTCCGCTGCACTTGGTGCATTTGCCTGTCGCCTGGCACTGCTTCGGTGCCATTGCACAGCCCTTGGATAACACACTTTGTCAGCTGCTCTGCAGTTGCTGTGTTGGGATATTAATGCTCCTGTGTTTAACCTCTCTTGCGTGGGGGATCCTTCCAAGGCTGTTCTCTGCACCAATCATTTCCCCATTTTTCAGTTTCCTGAGGGCCTTTCTGGCATATACCATTTAATGACCTCCTAAATCAGGAGGAGCCTATAGGACAGGCCTTCCTTGCCTGCTCCAGTGGCTTGTTTAAGGCTCCTGATAGTGATTTTTGTGTTAATTCATCTGAGCACTTTGGCCTCCAGCTGGAGAAGCCCTTTCTGACCCGAGCTGGTAACTGTCCTTAAGAAGAACTGCTCGTCCTCTGTTGTGGGGCTGCCGCCCCATGGTGGGAAGGTCTAGGTCTGCTGCGGCTCTACCCTCATTGTGGGGTAACTGAGCAGATCCGTGTTGGGGTGGCAGAAACAAACCTGTTCTTCCCTGCCGAGCAGCTGCTGGAGCTCCGTGCCGAGGCGACGCAGCGTCCCGGAGCAGCGCGAGGAGCCGCGCAGGTAGGAGCCGCGCGCGAGGACGGTGGCGGAGCGGCGCCGCTCACGCGCCCGTCGCGCTGTCGTTGCAGAGCCCGGCGGAGCAGGCCAAGGCCCGGCTGCAGCTCGTGCTCGAGGCGGCAGGTAAGCGTGGCTCCGGCCCGGCTCCGGGCTCCCCGCGGGAACGGGCGCTGCTCGGGAGGACGGGGCTCCGCGCGCGCGTCCTCTTGCTGCTGAGCCCTCGCGCGCTCAAGCTGCTTGCTTTTCTCTGCACTGCATTGTTGCATATGTATACCTGTATGGATCTGAGGTAGTAGAAATGCCTGGGAACACTTTTTGCACAATCTTGTCTTCGCCCAGCGCCAGCAAGAAAAAAGACCAAGTGCCTGCTGTGTCTGACCAGTGCTTTTGAATTTTGACACCTTCAATCTAAGCAAGAATTGGGGGGATTTCCTGCTTTTTTCCTGCTGTGCCCAGAGCCCTGGGGAAGGGTTTGGGTCTCGATGTGGTGGCGGCCTCCGTTTGTAAAACAGGCACGGGGCTTTAGAGGCTTTCCGTTATCCGAAAATCATAATCATTTACCCCTCTATAACGTTAGCCTGCATGAGTGTTTGTAATTAATTTCTATACCTTCTGTTCCCTGTTTTTAGTTTGCCATTAAAACTTTGTTAGTTTATGTCTGAAAATTTGCAGCATGTCATCCATATGGTAATAAATACCTATTTGCAATAACTTTTGCTCCTTAGCTCAGCTTAGCTTGCTTCTAGTATTTGTATTTGTAATTTAGAAATGGCTTTTTCCCAGACATATCATTCTTTCTTTATTTTTTTTCCTCTTCTGGAAAGCTTTTGTTTGAAAGGGAAATGCATCTTCTGATATTTCTGGATTTCTTTTTTCAAAAATGCATCTAGCCCTTTATATTGTACAGCTTCAAATGCCTTCATTGTTCTCCATAACTTTTAATAAATCTTTGAAGCATATAATTATAAAATAGATGTGACAGCGCAGACCAAGAAAAGCACGATTTGTTTATACTACTCACATCTGTCACACCTCATTTTTTAATTTAACACCTGGGAAATGTATAAAAGATATCTGAGAGTTATATATCATCATGACCTGGGTCCCGGAAATTTCCAAAAACATTTAAAATGCCTGTGACACTTTTTAATTTAAAATTTCACAATTGGACTCTCAAACTTAGATTGAAGGTGCAAACTGGTCATAAATAACTCGAGATGTAATCTGTTTGTTTCTCTTAACATTTCAAACATAGGAAAAAGTTCTGTTCTGATTTTATTTAAGTGCTGGTAATCTTGTGCATTTATGAGATGATCCTCTCCTCCCTCCGTCAGTCTTGTTTTTAACTAATTCAATTTAATGTTTAAGTTGATGCAATGACAGTTTTGGTAATTTTAATATTTTTCCTATATATTCCTTTTTCTGTGTTTATGTATTGCAAAATAAGCAAATTAATTTATCTTTACATTAAAAATAAATACATAAACAAAGCCAGAATATTATTCAGCAAACATTTTTGGCTGAAACATATTATCTTTCTCATTCTGGTAATATAAAATTGTTTTAAAGGCATTATGTTTTATACTAAGTTGTTGGTTTAACTTTTCAGAATAATAATCACTCAGCGCTTTAGAACCAGATTCTAACTTGATTTTCAGTGCATTTTTTGTATTATGATGTTTGTATTTATATGTTATTCTGTGAATAATAACTGAATATTGTAGGAAATGAATTATTCCATTATTTGGGGGGTAAAAAAACGCCAAACCTGTGCCACGTGCATATTGCCTAAGTGTTAATAGTTGCTGATAGCGCTGTTCTCCTTTCGGGACATGGACAACGAAACAGTTTCAACAGCTCAAAATTGCCATTGAGCTCTGGGGAGGCCTTTGGGAAGGGCGCATCTTCGTTGATCTCCATCGAAATATTTGTATGTTGGCTCCTCAAGCCTCCTTTTCCATGACATTTCTCTGACATACCTCATATTAATCTAATCCTACATTGTTTGTATTCAGATTTGCTTGTTTTATTCCGAAGTTTTCTGTATCTTACTACACTTTGAAAGTATTAACTGAGAAAAGGTTATTTGGCTTATTTAGCAAATATTTTGGTTCTTAATATAATGGAAATGCCTTTGGCTAAACATAACAGAAATATAGCACAGGAGCACCTTCACTGTGTAAGATATATTGCAAAGCATATTAAATATTAATGTGCTTAAGCTAAAAGTTATTTCTCTATAAAATACTGATATTTGTTGTAAGAGCAGTTAGACTTTAACTTCAAGCTCTCTGATGAGTTTTGTAGCTTGCTTATAGCCTCTTCCAAGATTATATTTATATACTCTTTATCGTCTGCTATTCACCAGGTGATAATATGTTGGATTCATTTATTTTACTAACCAGGTTCCTCTTCTGCTTAGCCCTATCAAATAGTCTAAATTTCAGTGTATTCTTTGTCCATCCTTGGTCTCCTTCAAAATATTCATATTCAAAATCCGCTGGGATGGGATCCTGTGCTCCAGGGGAGCTGCTTGAGCAGGATCTGGACTCGAGCCATCTCCAGAGGGGCTTCCCAACCTCAGGCCTTCCCTGCTTCTGTCTATATTTAAAAAGTAAAGCAAACAACTGCAGTGTAAGTTTGTGCCTACATATGTACATTTACACTCACGTATACCCACATATATACATGCATATTTTATATATATATTTTATATACATGCAGAATAGGTGCATGTTTTTTAAGAGGAAGCTTTTGGTCTTTGTTTTATTAGAGTTTTATTAAGGTTCAGAATCTCTCAGGGTATTTTGTTCAAATCTAAAAATGAAAAGTCTACGTCTTTCTCCAAGGATAGGGAATTTCAGTCTAAAGGCTGCTTGCTTTGTATTCGTGTGAATCGGGACAGTAGAAGAGCTAACCCAGTGTTCATGGCAAATACTGCGCACAACCGCAGTAGCTATATACAAGAGTCATCAGAGGCACTGTATAAAGGATGCAATTTCCAAAAGAAGGTCAAGTAAAAACAGAAAAAATGAAAAGAGAAAAGCAGACATAGTCCGTGTTCTGCTTTATTCTTTTCCTGGTGTTTCGGCGGAGGATTTACATGTAAGGGTTGTCTGCTCAATCTGAAGATGCCTGTGTGATCTCTCACTGAGAGTATAAGTTTGTTTCACGTCAATCCACTGACATGGAAATTATGCTCAGAATGTAGAAATTGAATATCCCTGTGGCTTTGAGCAAGAGGAGGCAAGTTGGGTACTGAATACATTCAGATGTTGGGTATTTAGAGCGATGGGTCTGGGAAATGCCTTCGCCGTCCCAGCTCCACCAAGTCCTGTTCGAGTGCCGTGGCCACAGTTTATGCAAGTCAGTTACAGGCTCGTGGACCCCTCCGTTCTTCAGTAATCTCTGTGCCACCAGAGATGCTCGAGTTTGGGGGAGCTGAATATGCAGCAGCCTCCTGGTCAGGGGCAGCTTCGGGAGGAGTGCGAGACGCATTGCGCATGGACAGAGCCGTTTCTAGAGTCTAATGAGATATTTGTGTAGGAAATAGCAACCAATCTCACTGAAAAACAGAAGGTAGTAAAGGAAAAAAGGACTTTTCCTGGTTCCTGGTGGGTCTGGGTCTCCCTCGCTGGGGGAGAGCCGCTAACACAGAGCGTATCCCACGGTGGTTGTGCAGACACGACCGTCTTCACGCTCAGTAACGCCGAGCAGCTTCGTCTCTGCGCGGCACTGTGCTGGGTTAGCTCTACATTTAAGTAATTGTTGTCTTTGTTAGTGTAAATGTCTGTCAGTCTTTGCTCTGATTAAGCGGGGTGCTGTTTGCAGATGCGGACGCGCTCCGCTTTAATTGCCGAGGAGACTCATTTGGCCTTTATAAAAACTGCAACCTGGTAGAAGTCGTTGGCCTCAGTCATACGTTTATATTTACATGACTTTATTTACTTATCCTTCTTCACGTTTGGGTACAAGAGAGCCTGCTTAGCATCGCCTGGCACTGCCGCAGCAACTTGCCCCGTCTGAGCAGATGTTAAGCAGGCAGTAGTTGAATGTTAATTTGGAGAGGGTGGGATGGTTAAGCCCGTCTGAAGTACGTTGCATGTGGGCCTTGCAGACCGAGCTACAATGCTTTGTCCCTTGGGAGAATTTTAAAGCTAAACCTCTTTCTTTTTGTCACTCTATATGGACTCTCTCAAGTCAGTATAAAGCAGATCATCCCTAGGCTAAAGCTCTCCAGCTTTTGTTAGTGGGCTCTGTAGACCTGTAATTAGGCCTCCTGGCAGGCCTTGCAGGCCGCTTAATGGTCATATGGAGTTTCTATGAGGCAGACTGGCTTTGTGCAAATCCTTCGCGGGGCTGCGTTTCTGGGTCACTTCCTACCAGGACCGGCCTTTGTGGCGCTGCCCCACGGGCTGCCAGGGAGCAGCTTCCCTTGACCATGGGCAGCTCCGCTCGCCGCGCACAATCCACCCGCCTAATCCCCAGTGTAAACAGAGGATTTAGCCGAGCTTCTGTCACTTACCCTCGCCAAACCACTTGGGTGTCTGTGATTTCTTTCCCAGACTTCATTACGGAGCCGCGGAGAGGCACCGCGGAGCCGGGCGCGCTCTGTGCTAGCGACTCGCTCGCTCTTTTTGCTCGTTTTCAGAGAAAAAGTGGCCGGGGCTAGAAGCCGGTCTCACTGCAACGGGTAAAATTGAGAGGACTTGCAACCTTCAAAGCAAGTTTTGTGCCCAAAATGGTTATAAGACGTCCATACATCTCAAAGTTTAACACCCGGGTGAATGTTCCGAGTGCAAACGTATCGAGAGGAATCGGCGGATGGGTGTTTTGAGCCATCGGTGCTGCTGCTGTTACCAAAGTAGCCTGAAAATTGGTCTCCAGCAGTAAGTGGAGCTTTCTTGCTCTCTGTGTAAAGACGATTACAAAAGGCAATTGATCTGTTTTTTCAAAGGTCCAGAGTTGAAAAAAGCGACTGATCTATTTTGGGAATCTGCATTTCAATCTATTGGTGAAAGCGCATTCAAGAATAGAGCGTTTTTGTGCAAGGAATTCCTGATCGAGTTTATTTAAAGGAGAATGGAGATACTGATATGGCATTAGCAATATATGCTAAAAAT